TACGGATGACAAAAGCATTTCCCTCACAATGTATTGCCTGTTACTAAGCGCGTCGTTGCCAATTAATTAGTAGATCGTAGCCAGTCACCGACAGGTGTCCCTTCTGTAATTGACTTGTTCACTAACGTACAATGTTATTCAGAGTTCCGACTAATTGCATTGATTGTGCAATTTTACAATTTTTATATAACGACGATAAGGGTCATTAGTCCGACTCGTCTGTTTGTTAACCTTGTTATAACGATGCAGTAAGGAACAAATATTATAATGCGTCATTATTTGTTTTTAAACACACATGTGTATACACATGGATAACAATATTAAATTACATTTTCATAATTTCTTCGCTTTGAATACTCAGATCACCAAAGAAAGATGTTTTTGTTGGTCTAAGTTCGGATATCGATAGGTTAATAGTTTGCAAGTTGTTTTCTAGTAGGTAGGTCCTTGCTCTAATAAATTTTATAGAAACCCGCATTGGCGTTTACCTTGTACATACGTCACGTCATAACGCCTCCGCCGGCTCGATACGGGCGGTCAAAGAGCACTCACTTATCACGTCCACGAGTGCATTAGTGCAGTGTAGCATTACTTGTACTATACGCCGCTGAATAAGATATTCCCTCGTCTTATAAAGGCTTTCAAAGGAATCATGTAATGTCATGAAGGACGAGCATGTGGATTTGTGGATTTTACTCTTAAAAAGCTGTTTCTCTTTTGTATAGGAGGATAATGAAGAGATTGCTTAAAACGTTTTCTCATGGATGGTTACTTTACATGTGTCCAAATAGCTCCGTATAGATATCTCGTGGATGGGTATATATTGATAAGTGAATTTTTTGGTTATTGAGACGATGTTGGAGCGAGAATAGTCTGCCACTGAGTATGTTGACTAACTTTTAAATTTACATGTATGAGGATTACCTATACTTAAGTGAATAAAATTGAAGTGTCTGTTTGTACTCTCAAAATAATAACTTTTTATTAAATGCATATGAAAATATATACGGTACTTATAATAAAAAAAAATGTCTCTCTGTCTGCCTGTTTGTTCCGGCTAATTTCCGAAATGGCTGAACCTATTTCGACAGGACGTTCACTGGTAGATATCCTACGTTATAAAAAGTAACTAAGGTTACGTTTATTTTATAAAAAAAATTAGGATTCCACGCTAAGAACTACAATCCAAGAAATTCCATAGTAATAATTTTCATGCGGACGAAGTCACATTTGTAGTAAATAATATCCCTTCGCGGGCGGGACGTGTATCGTAGGCTTCAATATCAAACATATAGTTTTAGCCTATTTGAACTTGATTGATGATAATTTTTATTAATTGAACATATTTTTCTTAACTATTATCAGCCACTGCTTAACTAGTATTCCACAAGTCCTGATGCTATACATGCAGCACATGGACGTAATGTGGCTCGGGTATTTATATTAGAACTAATGTCGATTTTCGAAATTTTAGAAAATCTAATTTCAAAATAACAAAAAAACTATAACTGTTGCCTAAATTTCCTTAAAATATAACTAAAATTTAATTTCAATTTCTAGTTATCTACAAATTTTAGTTTACATTATCCGAGTACTGGAAGTCGTATGTTGAGAATACATAAACGCACGCCGTTCCTTGTATATATTAAACGAGTTTAATCGAACAGAAACAGCTTTATTAACGATAAAACGTTCTCAGAGCGCATCGTTGCAGATGCGAAAGCCCGAATGGATCCGGCGCCAAGTAAAGCCACGATTCACGGCCCACATTGCTTATGTTTGTACCTTTTCATTTACATTTTAGATTTTTATTTACTAATTTTAAGGGATTTTATCGCGTACATTAACTTTTTTATGTTCCTGACGTTTCGAGCACTACGTCACCCATGGTCACGGGATATTCAACGTCCAGATGTCATAGCTAATCGCGGTTACCATAGATTAAAATTATTAATTTTTGTTCCGGTGTTTGTGTCATTCGGAACAAAAATTAATTGAAATTCCTGCATCACAAACTTTCTTCGGCAGCTTGAAGTATGTTTTAATGGAAGCGCGCTTCAAAATGTAGCCAATCTTGTCAATGACTCCTCTGACATATGCAGCAGGTACAAGCTCGATTGTGGCCGGATTCACTTTGACGTTGTTGTCATGCAAAACAAGAAACTGTCCATGCGGTCGGAGCTAAGTTCTGCAAGACCCGCCGCAGAAGAACACAAAAACTCTCCGATCACACTCTTAATCTCATGGCTGTTAGACGGGAGATAAGGCTGCAATCGTCAACAGATTTGACAGTAAACAGGCAACTGAACAGACAGATCTCCAAATGCGTGCGGCGGGACTTACTCAACTTTAATACTGCTCGTATTAAAGAAGCGATCGAGCGGAACCAGGGCTCCAAAGTCTTTGCCAGAGATCTGTCTGCCAGAAAGAGCCAACTGTCAAAGCTGAAGACTGAGTGTGGCAGCATCGTTTCCGGAACACCTGAGATTTTGAGTGAGATTGAGAGGTTCTATGGGCAGCTGTACACATCATCGTTGGAGCCACACGCAAGTGTGAGTAACGATCCAAGAGCAAGTCTTACCCAACACTATTCCGATGATATCCCGGAAGTCAGTCTGAGCGAGATTAGAATGGCTCTCCAGGACCTTAAAACGGCAGGGCCCCAGGCGAGGATGGAATTACAGCGGAGCTTCCGAAAGCGGGTGGAACACCGGTACTTGAACTCCTTCAGAGGCTCCTCAATTCCGTCCTCCATGGTGGCGGACACTACTCCTAAGGCGTGGAGCAGAAGTGCGGTGGTCTTGTTCTTTAAGAAAGGCGACAACGCTCTCTTGAAGAACTACAGACCGATTTCCCTTCTGAGCCGCGTCTACGTGCTGTTTTCGAGAGCCGGTTTCCGAAAAGGATACAGTACTATAGACCACATACATACCCTGCGGCAGATTGTACAGAAGACCGAAAAGTACAATCTGCCACTTTGCCTGGCGTATGTGGATTATGAGAAAGCCTTTGATTCCGTCGAAATTTGGGCGGTGCTACAGTCTCTTCAGCGGTGCCAAGTTGACTGTCGGTATATTGAAGTGTTGAAGTGTTTTAATAGTAGGGCTACGGTGGCTATCCGAGTACAGAACCAGAGTTCGAAACCTATCCAACTGCAGAGATGTGTAAGACAGGGTGACGTTATATCCCCGAAACTCTTTACCGCTGCGTTTGAAGACGTTTTCAAGCTACTGCACTGGAAAGGATACGGTATTAACATCAATGGCGAGTACATCACTCACCTTCGATTTGCCGACCTGAAGGCCGATTGAAGGCCTGCAATGATGATTATCATGAAAACAAGACAATCAATTAAAAACCGCCTTAAAGCACATGTAGCTGATGTAAAGAATCGACGCTTCGGGTTGTCTGCAGTATGTGAACTCGTACAGGATTACCCCGTCACTATATCAGTTTTGATGCACCTCGCTAAAGACAACCGTTTCGTTCCAAGTATGAATCGCGAGGCTATTGAAATCAATGAACTTTCTAATTTAAATAGAAAAGATGACTTGGCGCTACTATAAGTTTATACCGTGTAGATTGGAAGAAAAATTAATTATTTTAATCTGTGGGTAACCGCGGTTAACTATGACATCGGGACGTCAATCACCTCAATCCCCCTCATGATTACGGGAGGTGCTGCTGTAAAGTGCAATTAAAAAAAACAATATACGCGATAAAATCCGTAAAAACTATTTTATTTAAATGCGTAATGTTCGCGTAAGTAAAAGAAATCATTATATCCTTGAAGTATTTTGATTACATTACTTGTTAATTGATTAACAAGTGATATTCGCACAATATCTCTCCATATATAAAAATCAATTGCTGTCTATTAGTCTCGCTAAAACTCGAAAATGGCTCAACTGATTTTGAATAAATTTTTTGTGTGTTTTATTGGGTCCTTGGATGGTTTGGATTTATAATAGGACGCGGTAGGTGGCGCTGTAGTCGAGATCCAAAAATCAAAGAGAAGCCGGGGTAAATCGCTAGTTGCGAATAAAAATAAAACTAATTCCTACGGTAATCGACCTTGGGTTGCTGCGTGCTGGTTTAAGGAATGAGATCCCACGACTCTAATTTTTTTGAAAATAAATTATATCCCATGTTACTTTAGCTTTATATTGGTGTAAAAATTATTAAAATGGGTCCAGTAGTTTCGGAGCTTATACGGTACAAACAAACAAAAAATCTTTCTTCTTTATAATATTAGTATAGATAATTAATTTTTTTGTTATTATATTTTACTTATTTTTTTGTTCTTTTAAATTTTGATTATCTTAATTTTTATTAGAAATATTATTATATTATTTGTAAAAAGATAATATCTACAAAACATAAGTCATTAAATATATTAGTTCAGAGCTTCCCTGTAAACGATATTTGATATTGTTTTATTTTATGGCATCAAAATATCCTGGCTATATGAGATAGTTGACCAGACAAGTGATGATGGTCGCTATAGTTAAATTTTCCGTCAATTCCTTAACACGTTAACTGCCATTAAAAAGTGCACATTTTCCGTTTAGGCCATGGGGGACAAAGTTTTCCATTCAAGCCGCGTCTGACAATGTTTACCGCGCGTCAGGCCTGTGTTCAAAACTCTCTATTGTGACAACGTACAGCAGTATCGAGATAATTCTCTTATAATGTGACCCGCGCGGCCCTCTAGTTTATCCTAAATAGCTTGGTTTTTACAAGGGGGTTTAACTTAGAAATAAATATTGATTTTTCGAACGCTTGAAAAATTTAAATCACTAATAAGGTTTTATGAGATTATAATAAAATAAAATAACGTTTAGCGTTTTTTAGATAAAATAACTGTTTATTAAAATCAAATAAAACAATAGAGCCTCTCTCTCAATGGGAATTAAATTGAACTTATACAATAAAAATAGGAAAACCTCAAAAAGCTTAAATGTAGGCAAGAAAGTAGGTACCTACATAATTTTTTTTCGCTAATGGACTTTTGTGAAACATTCAACACAAAGATAGGGTTCATCAGGACAATTAGCACAAAAGGTGTTAACTTTTTTAGTTTTGTTTTTAGCGATTAAACTTCCTTGGGAAGCCACCATATTCTTATAGCATTGTTGGTACGCACGGCGAGTTTTACTTGAAGGTCCTTCCTTTTTCTTCAATTGGTGCATTACTCTTCTCATTCTTTGATTTGATGAAGTATCATCAGTATCGAAACCTACAAAACTCTTCATAATTTCTTTTCTAAATTTCAGTACTGATATCTTCTTCTTGGCTACGCTCTGATAAAGAATTAAAGCATTTACCATAGCTGTATTTAAAAGTAAATCTATGCCAAGTTTTTTGTACCATTTGATGCTTTTCCTCAGAGGAGTTTGATGTGCTGTCATTTGGTCGGATAAATCAACTGCACCCTTAGCTTTGTTATAATCAAGAACGACTTTAGGCTTAGATGTTTGTTTGTGATGTTTTATAACAGTTTGAAAACGCACAGAATGTTTTGTTGAGAGAACCAATACATCTCGCTTATCCCTTCATCTCAATACAGTGATTCTATCATTGCTCTCTTTTGCTATATATTGCCCTTTCTTCAATTTTGTTGATACAATTTCTTTGGGAAAATGCTTTCGATTCTTTCTCAAAGTGCCAACCAAATGCGTTTCGTTCTTCAAAAGTTCTCTTGCTAATCCAACGCTTGTGTACCAATTGTCGGTATACAGAGTATGTCCTTTATTTAGTAAATCATCGCATAGCGCCATAACAACCTTGGTAGGCGTAGTATTAACGTCATCGTTCTGTTTTCCACCATAAATGCTAATTTTGTATGTGTATCCAGGCAAGGTACATAGTTTAAATAACTTAATCCCATACTTATGGCGTTTTTGCTTGTTGTATTGCCGGAATATAATTCGCCCGCGAAAAGGAACCACACTTTCATCTATACATAAATCTTCGCCAGGCGTGTACGATTTTTTAAAATTTGCATTCATTACTTCCACCAAGTCTCTAACGCGGTGTAAGCGATCGGTAGTATTCTCTTCATCTTCTTGTGAAAAATGAAGCATTGCAAGTAGTAGCTCAAATCTATTGCGAGACATAATGGTTCGCGGAAACTGCTGTCCAATGATTTTATCTGTGGTCCAGTAATCAGCTACTTTCGGAAGCCTAACTATACCCATGTATAAAATTAGCCCAAAGAATTTTTTCATTTCAATCAGGTTAGTAGGGCACCAGCCGCGAATGCGCGCTGTTTTCGAAGCTTCATTAGACATTGTTATTCTATTCAAGGCGTAGGCATTAGTGCATAAAACAATTTTATTTAAACCTTGTCTGTCACCATAAGCGCAAAAAAATCAGCTGGGCATTTGTTTGTCATGGCCATGCGTAAGCTGAGATGCATTCCAGGATAATCAGTAAAAGCAATAATTGTGCGCTGATTACCTTTAGGATCAGTCCACGTTGAAGGCGGCGAACGTCTGTCTAAGTCTTGGATGGCACGATTGGTTTCAGCATCACTGTCTTCGCTATCAGATGGTACGACCCGACGTCGCTTCGAATGAGTAGGCTGAATATTATTTTCTTCGTCGGAACATAAATGGAGACTTCTATTCAACAAATCGAACTCGATGTTATCGATCTGTGTTATATCTTCTTGCGTTATGTCAAAGTCGTCAAAACTATCCATATTGTCCATAACAATTATAGTAAAAAACTTCGTAAACAATCAGTCGAGTTCACAACGTCATGTGCACGTCACTAATCGGAAATCACGACTGCGAGCGCAACGAGACACGAGGGCGGATGCGCGGGGAGTGCGTCGCGGGCGCGGTGGGGCGGCAACATAACCGCGCGGCTCTATTTAACGGATTTTCGATATTACGTCCGCTGTGGCCATGGGGGTCAATGTTGTGCGATGCGTAATAACTAATAATATAGGGTCAAAATCATTGTTTATTAATTATAACACGTTATTTAGGCATATAATGTGTCTAAATAATGAATAAAAACAATCTGTGAATAATGATAAAAATGAGGATTTTTACTTAGCTTGATAGCGTATGAAAGCATCGCACAACATTGACCGCGTTGGCAGTGAACGTGTTAATAAGTAGCCTCATCTCGTTGCACATGCTCAGGGGGCTTAAATTTCTCAAAAGCATGATTGGTGTTCCGATTTATAATTTTTTTTTATTTTAAAATTTTGGAACAGACATAATCAACAAAGAACAGAAATAAACTTAACAAAACACAATAATAAATTTAATAATCGAAAGTAGTAGTAAAATCACTAAGCTAATAAAAACTCAGCTCCAGAGTACAACAATACAAAACGGCAGGTAAATCCTTCAAAAACGTAGTGAATATATGTATACTGTAGCGGCGCTGCCGCCGCCGCCACAAGCGAAAACACACCGAAGCCTAAATCGCGCTATCAACATTCCGAATCATAAACAGTATATATAGAACATCTCCGAATTATCACACGGAGTGTGAGCCGCTCCCCGGGCAGAACACCTTGCCCGGCGGGAGATCTCCCCTTTTCCTTCCACGGCCACAGTGGTGACCCCGACGTGATCTGAACACGCAACCAAACAACCTTCGGAACTTCAAGCTTCATCATCGTCATATAATACCCCACCGTATCGCTCCCGAGCAGATATCGTCTGCAGTCTTCATATCCTGCAAGCCATCTAGCTTCACAAGGTTCATCGCAGCATTGGAATAATAATGCTTCCTGTTCCTTCAAGCTACTCTCTGCGCTATACAGTGTTCGGCACGGCTCTGAGCCTTACTGCTCGCCTCTGCTTCACGGCACTCTCGCAGATTACTTGCCTTCTTCTCGACTCACCGCAGACTACAAGGCAATCCACTGGCACTTGCACATTCGTCGGCAACAAGGCTGCACTAACGACCTCCGGTCTGAGCAGGGGGTGATGTAGCGGCGCTGCCGTCGCCGCCACAAGCGAAAACACACCGAAGCCTAAATCGCGCTATCAACATTCCGAATCATAAACAGTATATATAGAACATCTCCGAATTATCACGCGGAGTGTTGGCCGCTCCGCGGGCAGAACACCTTGCCCGGCGGGAGATCTCCCCTTTTCTTTCTACGGCCACAGTGGTGACCACCCGACGTGATCTGAACACGCAACCAAACAACCTTCGGAAACTTCAAGCTTCATCATCGTCATATAATACCCCACCGTATCGCTCCCGAGCAGATATCGTCTGCAGTCTTCATATCCTGCAAGCCATCTAGCTTCACAAGGTTCATCGCAGCATTGGAATAATAATGCTTCCTGTTCCTTCAAGCTACTCTCTGCGCTATACAGTGTTCGGCACGGCTCTGAGCCTTACTGCTCGCCTCTGCTTCACGGCACTCTCGCAGATTACTTGCCTTCTTCTCGACTCACCGCAGACTACAAGGCAATCCACTGGCACTTGCACATTCGTCGGCAACAAGGCTGCACTAACGACCTCCGGTCTGAGCAGGGGGTGATGTAGCGGCGCTGCCGTCGCCGCCACAAGCGAAAACACACCGAAGCCTAAATCGCGCTATCAACATTCCGAATCATAAACAGTATATATAGAACATCTCCGAATTATCACACGGAGTGTGAGCCGCTCCCCGGGCAGAACACCTTGCCCGGCGGGAGATCTCCCCTTTTCCTTCCACGGCCACAATACTCTTTGGGTACTTCATACAAGGCGCTAAGCGCTGGCATAGATTATATACATATAAACCATGTAACAAAAACTTTGTCGTTCCTGTTAAATACGTTATCTGAATCAGTATTCAAACGTATAGAAATAACTTTGCTTCAAAATTTTAATTCAATTTAAATACATTTTTATTTGTCAATTGCTGGTACATGGTTTTATTACTTCTGCATTAAATAAAAGTGTCAAAGACCCTTTCCTACGTGCGTGTCAGTAACCACATACAATTTGCAAATAAAAATTTACTCAGTAATTAACTAGACTTATATATATACGTATGAATTGAAATATGATAAATAGAATTTTTGTTACGTGTTGTATAGTGAATGGAACAAGCATTAGTACTGAAAACTGCAGGTGCAGTCAATGCCGTACTGAAAATCACCGGTGCTGGCAGCCATTTTGTTTGTGTTAATATTAATGTGACTGTTGCCATAAACATTAAAACTGACTATTCTTTCCAAATTAATACGTAGTATATACAACTATAACGTCGTTTTAACAGTGGTAGAGCCACGCGGCAGCTTTGGTGTTGCACGTACGGGCCGGCTCAAACCTGGGTGGTACCACGACCTCACAGAATACTGGCGTGAAGTGGAAACTCTGCTTCCGCATTTCTTCTGGTAAGTGCAGGTGGCCGGAGGCCCAAATCCCCCCCCCCATCAACATGGTAGCGGAATTAAATGATGATAGACTACCCCAGGAGAGTACCAGCACCCCTGGAGAATCCCTCGCTGAGCATCAACGACCATGTTTCTCCACTTCTGAGCGTGGGTGCTCAGGCTGCCCCGAGTGTTCTGGGGGGGAGGGCAAAATTCCGCTCAAGACTACAACTGCTCGGGGCAAACGGAGCAACAAGACCAAGGCGACCCCTGCCACGCTGTCCGTGAATTTCTGCAATATCAGGGGACTTCACTCTAACCTAAACGCCGTCCACAATCTACCATCTCAAGACGGCGAGGCCGGCTCTGCTCTTTCTGACCGAGACGCAGTTGTCCTCTCCGGCTGATGTCTCGTATCTCTCTTACCCGGGTTACAAACTGGAACACTCCTTTATGCCTCGGGCTGGAGTTTGCGTTTACGTCAGGGAGAACATCTGTTCTCGACACCTCGATAGACTTGAAGGTTCGGACCTGTCCATCCTTTGGCTACGCGTAGATAGCGACAATCATCCGCGCGTCTATGGGTGTCTCTATAGGTCCCATAGCGGTAATGCCGAAACAGACCAACTCTCCGACCACGTCAAAATGGCTACAGATTCTTTGCTACAGCAGATCTCCTCCGCAGAGATCGTGATCCTCGGCGACTTTAACGCCCATCACGCAGAAAGGCTTGATTCATGTTTAACCGATCATGCGGGGAGATCTGCTCATGATTTTGCCTTGGTATATAGTCCGACACAACTGGTTACTTCGCCTACGCGGATTCCAGACGTGGAGATTCATGCACCTTCCCTGTTGGACCTTCTGCTCACCTCTCACCCGGACGGATATCATATTTCCGTCGACGCCCCTTTAGGCTCCCCGGACCATTGTCTTGTTCGGAGTGTGGTGCCACTCACGCTGAAATCGCAGTTGCATTCTGCAGGCTGCCGCCGTGTTTGGCACTATAGGTCAGCCGATTGGGATGGGATGAGGTCTTTCTTTGCACCCTACCCTTGGGGGCGGGTTTGCTTCTCGCCGGACGATCACAACGTTGTTCACAAAATTACTTCAGGGTATGGAACTTTTTATTCCTTCCTCTGTGGTGCCCATTGGAGGCAAATCTCAGCCATGGTTTGGTCACTCCTGTAAAATAGCATCATGCTACAAGCGGGAGTGCTACCAAGCCTGGGTTGACGCTCAGCGTCCCGGGATGTAAACACCAGCGCTCTAAAAAAAGAAGTATAATTCCTCCTCTAGGTCCTTCAAAAGAGTCATTACAAAGGCAAAGTCAGAGCACATTAGCAGAATTGGCGAGAAACTAGTTCGCCTTCCTTCTGGAACCCGTGCATTCTGGTCTCTCGCCAAGGCTGTCCAGGGGAATTTCTGTCAGCCATCTCTTCCATCTTTGCACAGGGAGGACGACTCACTGGCCCATACCGCAAAGAAGAAAGCCGATCTTCTAGGCTCTTTCTTTGCATCCAACTCGACTCTCGATGACGGGGGGAGTACGCCGCCGAAGATCCCGCGGTGTGAGTGCTCCATGCCGGAAGTGCAGTTCACACAGCGCTCGGTTCGCAAAGCACTCCTCTCCCTGGACATCCACAAGTCGAGTGGGCCTGACGGAATCCCCCCAATTGTGCTGAGGACGTGTGCTCCAGAGTTGGCACCGGTTATAACGCGTCTTTTCCGGTACTCCTACTCCCTAGGCGTAGTCCCATCATGGAAGACGGATTTCATCCACCCGATCCCTAAAAAAGGCGACCGCTCAAACCCGTCCAACTACCGGCCTATCGCCTCCTTGTACTCCAAAACATTGGAGTCCATTGTAAACTGCCAGCTCATGAGGTACCTTGAGGATCACCAGCTGATTAGTGACCGCCAATACGGTTTTCGAATTGGTCGTTCAG